AAAGAAACGTTGCTGGCATCATACAAGGCAATAGGCCGGCCGGTTTTAATCTACGCAGCACCAGTGTGGTCGCTGCGGACTAGTAGGACAAAGTGGATGAAGCTACAGACGGTACAAAACACAGCACTTAGGACAGCGACCGGATGCCTCCTGATGTCACTAGAACACCACATCCACGATGAGGCGAAAATGCTCCCAATTAGGGAGCACAACACGATGCTCTGCAAGCAGTTTCTAAATCACCAGTTTCCACTTTTAAAACACTATTAAAACGTCTCCGGTTATTATTTTATGCAAACCAAATCATTTNCAATAAAGTACAGAGCCGCAACAAGGTCCTCAAGTCGCTAGCCGGCAGTACTTAGGGCAAAGACAAAGAAACGTTGCTGGCATCATACAAGGCAATAGGCCGGCCGGTTTTAATCTACGCAGCACCAGTGTGGTCGCTGCGGACTAGTAGGACAAAGTGGATGAAGCTACAGACGGTACAAAACACAGCACTTAGGACAGCGACCGGATGCCTCCTGATGTCACTAGAACACCACATCCACGATGAGGCGAAAATGCTCCCAATTAGGGAGCACAACACGATGCTCTGCAAGCAGTTTCTAAATCACCAGTTTCCACTTTTAGAACACTATTAAAACGTCTCCGGTTATTATTTTATGCAAACCAAATCATTTATTCACTTTTATTTTACATATTTCGTTAATAAAATAGAGTAAACAAACTTTGCGCCTGCCGAAGTTATTATAACCTCAAATGGCTGGTAATGCCACTTTATTTCACATTTTATTTGCGCTATTATACTCAGTTTACACTAAACACTTGTTCTTCTTCTTCTTATTTTTTCACTTTCCCCTAAATAAGATTTTTTATTAAAGATTTTCATTATTTATCGAAGTATAGATTTTTATGGAAAAGCGCCGCGGGCGAAAATTTTTAATAAAAAATCGCGCGATTTTTTGTTAAAAATTTTCATTATTTGTATATATATATTAAACAAAAGAAGAAACCGAAAAGCATTGAGCACTGCACACACCTTGTAAGGAAAAGTGAATTATTACGAAATACTAATACAGTGGCAGCACTATAGCTATTTTGCAATCTCGCGTTTCAGTTCGCAAAGATTCTCAACTTCTTTTTAGTAACAAAACAAACTATCTTAGGTTGATAAAACTATGTGTTTGTTTAATAAATAAGTTAAATTATATATTTTAATAGTGTTTAAAAAGTGATAACAGGTTATTTAGTGAATTTTTGTCGCTGTAATTGCCCATAGAAAACAACGAAATTTAACAAATGTTTNCACACACCTTGTAAGGAAAAGTGAATTATTACGAAATACTAATACAGTGGCAGCACTATAGCTATTTTGCAATCTCGCGTTTCAGTTCGCAAAGATTCTCAACTTCTTTTTAGTAACAAAACAAACTATCTTAGGTTGATAAAACTATGTGTTTGTTTAATAAATAAGTTAAATTATATATTTTAATAGTGTTTAAAAAGTGAGAACAGGTTATTTAGTGAATTTTTGTCGCTGTAATTGCCCATAGAAAACAACCAAATTTAACAAAAGTTGTTTGCTTATAACTTTTAAATGGTTAATAATATTAGCCCTCCCCCTCCGGATTGTTAATAGGGGGACCGGCNAGAAGAAACCGAAAAGCATTGAGCACTGCACACACCTTGTAAGGAAAAGTGAATTATTACGAAATACTAATACAGTGGCAGCACTATAGCTATTTTGCAATCTCGCGTTTCAGTTCGCAAAGATTCTCAACTTCTTTTTAGTAACAAAACAAACTATCTTAGGTTGATAAAACTATGTGTTTGTTTAATAAATAAGTTAAATTATATATTTTAATAGTGTTTAAAAAGTGAGAACAGGTTATTTAGTGAATTTTTGTCGCTGTAATTGCCCATAGAAAACAACCAAATTTAACAAAAGTTTTTTGCTTATAACTTTTAAATGGTTAATAATATTAGCCCTCCCCCTCCGGATTGTTAATAGGGGGACCGGCACGCGTCGTTTGGTACCTCTCCCGACTTTTCCGGACCTTTTTTAGGGGTTGTTACCCTATACTAGAGAATTACCGCCATTATTCCTATAAAATAAAAGTTTGTAAGAGTTAACTGATAATAAATTACACTTGCTTACCAGGAATTACAAAAAGCGCGAATTTATGGTCAATTTCTATTGAAAAATCGAACGTCAACATATACATACGAGAGACAAAAGAGAATAATCAGAACAAAATGTGAGAAAGAAACACAACTTTTACAGGACAATTAAAATGAAAAGAGACAATATAAAGGGTATTCAACTGAAATAAAGTATAAAGTCCATATGAAAAGCAATTTCAAATAATCGGGAAAGGATCGGCAAAAAAGTTCCGATGCCGATGCCGATGCTAAATTTTGTACCGATACTTGCCGATGCCGATTAATCGGTCGGACTCAACACTTTAGTATCGATACNAGAAACACAACTTTTACAGGACAATTCAAATGAAAAGAGACAAGATAAAGGGTATTCAACTGAAATAAAGTATAAAGTCCATATGAAAAGCAATTTCAAATAATCGGGAAAGGATCGGCAAAAAAGTTCCGATGCCGATGCCGATGCTAAATTTTGTACCGATACTTGCCGATGCCGATTAATCGGTCGGACTCAACACTTTAGTATCGATACGAAAACCAGTTTCGGTACCGCACAATATATGTATTGTATTAATTCACGTTGATGGTGCATCTACGGAATGGTGCATCNCCGCACAATATATGTATTGTATTAATTCACGTTGATGGTGCATCTACGGAACATTCGAGTAACGAGATTTTTATGTGAGTAACGAAACGAATCTTGCAACGTAAGGCTACGCCCATGTGCATACATGTACATATATACATATGTATACACGCAACATATTTTTGTACCGATAAGAACAATTTGATACAATTAAGCACTTGTACCCAGTGATGGAAAAGTCGGCACAATAGTGGCATTTTCGGCCCTATCATTCTCAGAGGCACTTTTGGCACAATTCTTCCTGTTTAAGCACAAACATAAAATATAGAAGTTTAGCATAAAATGCCAATGTATAACAAGAAATTACATACCACATTATAGATTAAAAAATTACAAAAAGTGAAAATTAAATGCACTTACAAATTAAAATAAATAATATAAAAAAAACTGTTTAATATACAACTCTTTTGTAAATGGATTAAAAAGTAGAAAATAATACTTCTCAGTCCCATAGAATTTGTTTTGATAACTTTTGATTTTG